ACCCAGTCTAGAACTTTGAATATGACAAAAGAAAATCTGTAATGGGAAAGGAGTCGTTGCATAAAATAATTTCAGCTGGCATCAGAGTTTGCACAGTGGGAATGTATGTCTTACAGGAACAATGACTCTAATGCATTTGATATAAAGATCTGAGGAACTTTTCTTCAAGTTTTATGATTTTAGATTATTTTTATTGAAGCAATCTTATGATAAAAGTCTTCTACTCTCATCAGCTTGTTAAAAGTTGTCCTCATGATACTACCTGGAAGTTATCAAAGATGGCAGAAATGTTACATTAAATAGCATATCAAAGGAGTTTTAGCCAATTCTACTTACATAACAATACAGGGGTAGAAATACAAATTCAAGTAGATAATGAGCTTTTAAACTTTGACCAACCTAGTACTTCCTCAGTACTGTTCTATTTGCATGCAGATAACATGAGCACAAAAGGATATCGATTCTACTCTGACTCTACTCAGAACCATACCCCCAAGATGGTAATGGGCCAATCTCAGTGAAATAACCAGTTTGTGACTTTCTATGAGGTTACAGCTCTCAGCATTTCAGGCTGCACCCAAAACATTAAGTTCCTTAAAAGAAAATATGTTATTACAAACCATGTACCAACCCTCCAGATGTTTTAGTGCTATTTATTTTTATTCTACCACTGTGAAATAGCAAAACCCCACCAAACTGCCCATGTGTTTGTAGACCTCTCTGTAACCATCCAGGAGGTCTTCTGTTCCTCAATATCCTCCTAACTGCCCCTGCATAAAACAAAATAGCTAATGTCTCAAAATTCAGATCTACAGATAAAAATTTTACATGATCAGCATTAAGTGAAGGAAATAAGAATGTAAACACAGGCTACTCAAGCTCACTATCAAGCTGCTGCAACTACAGTGATTGCAACCTACTGTGTACTGGACGAAAACTGAAAAGTACACAATTGATTTAAGTTGCCTTGTCACATAATGATAGCTAAGCACAGAAAAAGTATCTTAGAGTACACTATCTTCTTGAGGCAAACATCAGCCCTTCCCTAACGGAAACAGAAAATGAGTTGTCATTACTTCTAGCACTCATAAAACCCAGGCTCTAGATTTGAACCACTCCTTGATCAGAGAGAATTAATACAGTAGAGAGTGACATTTTTTTAGTGTAATCCAGGAGCTCATCAGGTCCCTTTGGACACTATGAAAGATTATCAAGTAGACTTCACCTTCAAAAACCATTTCCTTGTCATTAATGTCATAAGAAAAAACAGAATTCCAGAGCTTGAAAATATTATATAAATCCACTATTCTACTAAACTAACACAACTCCCATCTCCAGAGCTTATACTCAATGTGATAAACCACTGCATTCCACCAAGATGACACTACAGCATGGACTTAATTTACAGAGACTTGAAAGTAATCTCTAAAAACTAGTCTCTAAAGATGACAGAGTGGTGTCACAGGTAAGAGGACAATACTGTACAGAATACAAAGCAGAGCAAAAGGAAAAGTCAGGAATGGTTATGGAATAAGCTTTAAGGAAGCAAGATCAAGAGCACAGTAAGTCGAGAGAACAGCCTTAAGCAAAGGCCAGAGCATGACTTGTATGAGCAATGTGGAAATACAGTGAAGAAAGAGGGAGGTGATGAGAATGATACAGTGAAAGATCCTTTCAGCAGCATGAACATTTGGAGATCGAGATGGCAACAGAGGTTTGATTTATATTGTGAGACAGAGAACTAAAAACAGCAAATACCCAGAAAAGTCCAGGTTAAAAAGCTGACTGAGAACTGTAAGCTATTGTAGATAGCCTGTGGGGCTAAGTTAGGTGCCTTTTGTTTTACTATGTTATGCGGTTTTGCAAAGTTTTATTATATATCCCATAGGACAATATTTTTAAAATAAACTATGCAAAAATGCGCAATATAGTAAAAAAAGGCACCTACCTTATATCTACATGCTAGCTTCAACCTCCAGCAGAGTTGAATGGTTTGTGTTGCTGCCTCAGTGTTTATTATAGCAGTAACATCATGAAAAGGCGTTGACACTCCATGACTTCATGGGATCTGGAATGCAGTTTTGATAGTACTGGAGAAGAGCGGAAAAAGGGCAACACTTATTCATGTGCTGAACGTCTATTTTCATTTATTAAGAACACAGCACATTTAGTAATTTTTTCACTCTATTTCACAGCCACAGATCAGCTCTGAGTCATAGTACATTCAGTTACAGATGAAGTCTGTACAAGTTTAAAGGACAATTAGCATTCAATAACGAAGTGAGCATCACTTTTCATAAGAGGATCCTTAAAGCATACCATGCACAAAATAAAACTTTTCCTATTTGATTAAACAAGAGGCTAGTCCTCCCAATACATTTAGAATAAAGCTTTCATTATTTTCTTGAAAAATAGCTTTCAGCTTCTTGCTCATAACTCAGGTCTCTAATGCATATACACAGAAAACTATCAGTGTTGTCACAGAACATAGCATTCTACTCTACCTGCTCAGCTTCCTTGATTACCTTCTACCATGCACTTAAGCTTAATTTTTTGCCTGAAACACCATAGTATTTTGTCATCATTCACTCTCTGCTGTTCCCCAAATAAAACAAAATTAAAAAAAAACAAAACCACACAATGGTACAGAAGAGTAAGTACTCAACTGGGTTTTTTTTGAAAAAAAAAACTACAAGATCTTAGCTACTGGCTATCTTGGTACAGAAATGATTCTTAAAATTATGAGATCTAACTCATAAGATAGGTACCAGTTCTTTAAAAAGTAAAGACACCACACCACATTGATTGAGAATGAGAGGAAAAGATGACCTGTGAGAAAACAAGTACTTTCTTTAGCATGTCAGTGCTACCTGGAGACTGGCAGACTCAACTGCCTATCACTGCGTTAATTCTGTATTTACAAAGACATTACAGTACCTCAAGAGCATTTTACACATAACACCCTGATAGCTTACACAAGCAGGCGCTGAAGGCAGAAGATTTCAAAGCAAGATGCAAGAAAAGCCAGGATCATTTTTACACCACATTCCATATGGTCAGAGTTCTCTCAGAAATACCTGAAACTAATAAAGCCAGTATGGCAGCTATCAATACAACCTCACAAAGTCTAAAAGAGTCTGCTCAGGAATTTTGGGGGCACACTATTTCTAATTCCAAACAGAGCTGTTCAGTCAAATTAGAGATTTCTGTAGTGCTCTCATTTCCACTAATTTTCTAATTATCTCACTGACAAGGTAGGTGTGGCACCTACCAGACCATCTCTGGATCACTCAGTGGAAGACATTAGGTTGCTTTTTAAGGGAGGTGGTTGCAAAAATAGCTGCAAAAAGGCAGGATGGTTCTTACTACAAGTAATTTGAAACAGTTAATTGTCTGACTAAAGTCCTGAAAATTCTGAAGCATCATTGCCTGTGAAAATATGAGGAGTCTCTTTCTACAAGGTAGAACGCTCAAGTAGGTCTCAATATTCAGACAAGTCACAAGTCTCAGTCAGATTAACACCAAACAGTTTTTTCACTACAAGAACAGGAAAGAACTAGGACAGATAGGTGCCCATAGAACATCAATTTTCCAATAGCAAGTGTTTTATGGAGTCAGAGCAAGCCATATTCTGACCTGCTCTACTGTTAACGAATGTCCTACTTGAAGCAGCAAGCCTGACCAAGCGACCACACAGGTCCCTTCCACCAGGATCTCAGGAAACCATCTAAAGAGGCCAAGCCTACAGAGCTGGGGTTATTTGTGAAAGTTATTCTTTCACTTCACTTCACTTCACTGCTAGGGATGCCAATGCTAGCTAAGGCTGCAATGGTAGGTGATAACAGCAACAGGTTGTGTGGCAAATTAGGCATGAATTCTAGCATTCAGCATCCTTCAGATGCATGCATTCACAGGAATACTTAAGATGTACTCGGCCCTCAGGCACAGACGGCAGTGAGTATCAGGTAAGAATTACATCTGTCTGCTGCCAGGTGCACAGAAAAGCACAAGGTGTAAGTGACCTTTACAGACAATATAAGGTTAAACATCTCCAGCTAAATATCAGGTACGCACATCCACACTCCATTTGGTATAGCATTAACCCAAAGATCAGTTTAGAGAGCCTTTAAAAGAGGTCATCAGCTTACCTCCATGACAACAGAAGATCTTCTCATCCACAATGGCTGCAATAGGCAGACAGTTAAAACAGTCTGTGAAGGTCTTCCACAGCTTAATGTTAAATCTCCGCTTGCCTACAAGAACAGTGTGCAACATTAGGAAGAGAAGGCTGTTCTCTTAAAGCCAATCTGCAATACATATCACAACTTGATCAAAAATGTTAGGAAAATGTCCTCAAGGGCTTTATTTCAGTTAGCATACTTAGGTTTCAATCTCCTGCAACAGTGTATTAAGGACAGTAAAAGTGCAAATAATAATTCTCTAGAGTAACTTTAACCTTGGTTTGAAATGTACTTTTATAAAAGTTCAGAGCAAGTTCACAGAATATTGAAATTCTTGCAGTACAAGAGTCACTATTAGAAATGTCTCCAAAACATAATATTAGTCTGTTAAGAGTCTTCCAAAAGAAATAGGCTTTGCTTACATTCGTCATAGAATCCATAGATCCGATTGATGCTAGCACACTCGTGATTTCCTCTTAAGAGAAAGAAGTTTTCTGGGTACTTGATTTTATATGCCAGTAATAGGCAAATCGTTTCAAGAGACTGTTTGCCTCTGTCTACGTAATCTCCAAGGAAAAGATAATTCGCTTCTGGTGGGAATCCTCCGTATTCAAACAACCGAAGCAAGTCTGTATACTGACCATGAATATCACCTGAGTAAGAAAATGTTTACTAAGGATTAGTGCAACAACATAAAGAGTATTCAGATCAAGAACTTCAGTCAGCTAATCACTTTTTATTATTTCATCTTCAAAAAAGCATTAATTTTTAAAAACAGACTGGCAACAGTTATCAGAAAGGTAAGAACCACATTAATATTACAAACCAAAGTACTCACATGGAGTGCTGAGAAATAACATGGTTATTTGCAGAACTGCTATGTCAGTTATTAAGCCAATTGAAAACCCAAAACCTACAGAAGTCTCCACAGTTAAGCATAAGCTTTCTAACCACACTCTAATCTGTTCGAATTAAAACAAGGTCAGAAAGACAACCTCTAATTGAACAGTTACGTGGCCAGGAAGCCATTGTATTAAGAAAAAGCTAAGTCACATTATTTACAGCAAAACCAGATCAGTAAAGAAACTAGATAGACTGGATAGAAACTGCACATGGTGCTTGTCACCCCATAACTTTGCTGTACCAAGATTTACATCCCCTTAGACTTCAGTGTAACTCCTCCTCTGATGCAGTTATTCATATAAAAACAGTACAGAGACTCAAAGATTGATATTTAACTCTGCAGGTACACCTTAGGAAAAATAACTGGTCATGCTACTGATCACATTGCCAGCTTTAAAATGAAGCAGGCTTTCCATGAAACAGCTCTGTGTAGCAATTATCACAGCATATCGTATCAGCCTAGCCAAAGCTATCTTTGAGCTGCCCATAAGGTCAAAGAAGATACCAAAGCTGCTCTGCTTGTAGAATACATGCTCTGTATTTCTGCTGACTGTAGAAGTCATTACCGCAGTGACTGAATGCAAAAAAGCCTTCAATAAGCCTTCAGTACAAGCTGTATGATGCTTAAATTTAGTACCTCCTGGTCCCTTACACTAAGCATTCCACAAACGCATTTTCACTTTTGCTGCTTGTTCATTGGCAAAATCCCAACTCTATTAAGCATAGCTATTCTCCAGTAGACCTCTAGCTACTATGGCCTTAAAGAAAAAACTCGCACACCTCTACAACTTTTTGCATAATCTTAAAGAAAAAAAGAAACCACAAGCTGTATGCTCTCCGGTTCCAATTCTTAAAGCATACAGGGTTAAGAGGAGTACATAACTATATTCCTCTTTACCCTTTCCAAGAGAAATGCAATACTTCTTTATGGAGCATTCTTCTACAATTATTTCTCACTCAGGGAGAGCAATCACTTCTAATAACAAGGAACGTTATCCACAACCCAATTTCAGACACAATCTGAAGGTTCACTGGCTAATACAATTCTCACATCTGTTGGAACAAGAATGACTCCTATTCTACTTGACAGTTAGAAATCTCCAGGTCACAACCAGAAGAAAACACAGAAGACTCCTCAAGAAGTCATTGTTATGCTAAGTCTAGTATTCGAGAACTACACTATCAATACACACCCCAGATGTCACCACCACCATAATTAACTACCAAGTAAACATACTACAGAAAGAATATTAATTGTGCTCATTGTCTAGAACTACTTTGTTACACACAGGAGCCAGAGAGACCAAATCCCTTAAAGGGTAAAGGAGCATTTTATAGAAACAATTTTGTAAAGAGACCAAAGCATTTACTATTTCATTCAAGGCATTTGGCATTTTAGAATATAGCTTCATACAGACACCAGCTGAATTGAAGTCTATCAGATACAAACCCTTATGGTTAAAAACTACATCTATTTTAAAATGAATGTTTACATAGGAATATCTTTCATCTTACCTTACACAGCCATTCAAGATGTAAAAGCTTATTTTAAACTGACTTGATTACAAGACAATCCTATAATGGTTCCTCAGGCATTGCCTGAACACACTAAAATAGTAGTTCAAAGCAGTACACTTGCATATTTTGCTTTTGGTGAAAGCGATCATATTTCTTCCACTTTTATCTAAATGCATCTTTGACAATTGCTCTAGTATTAAATTTAGATGCACCTGACACTTCCTGTTGTTATCCCTGTGTTTGGAATCCAATTTTAAAATAACAACTGCTTTATTTAACTGTCGATCTGCTATCCTAGTATTGTGCACCTAACAGCCCTTTCAACCTTCTTGATTTAAGCAAACGGGAAACTACCTCTGAAGGAGGCTAATTATACTTTGCAGACCTTGACTTGCGTACAATCTAAATATCCGAGTTTTCAGTTTTTCTTTATCTAGGAATAAGAGACAACTGTAGTCTTCTCAGCACAACAAACACAATGCAGTAAAGCTGGATTTTACCTTCAACTTTATGATTAGGCAAGCTGGTCTGGTTTTTCCTTCCCACACTACCAAGCAATTAGTCATTTAAAAATTACTTTGCCATTAGTGTCTTTCTCAGCTTTTTTTTAAATCAGTAATATCCTGACAGGCTTGAGAGGTGGGCCCAGGCCAAGCTCATGAAGTTTAACAAGGCCAAGTGTAAGGTTCTGCACCTATGTCGAGGCAATCCCAAGCAGAGATACAGGCGGGGCAATGAGTGGATTGAGAGCAGTCCTGGGGAAGAAGGATTTGGGCATACTGGTGGATGGTAAGATCAACATGAGCCAACGGTGTGTGCTTGCGGCCCAGAAAGCCAGCCGTATCCCAGGATGCATCAAGAGATGTGTGACCAGCAGGTTGAGAGAGGTGATTCTGCCCCTTGACTCTGCCCTTGTGAGACCTCACCTGGAATACTGCATCCAGCTCTTGAGTCCCCAACACAAGAAAGACATGGAGCTGTTGGAGCAAGTCCAGAGGAGGGCTACCAAGATGGCCAGAGGGCTGGAATACCTCCCCTATGAGGACAGGCTGAGAGTTAGGCTTTTTCAGACTGGAAAAGAGAAGGCTCTGGGGAGACCTTATAGCAGCCTTCCAGTACCTGCAGGAGGCCTGCAAGAAGGCTGGGGAGGGACTTTTTACAAGGGCCTGTAGTGACAGGATGAGGGGTTATGGGTGGAAGCCAGAAGAGGGCAAGTTTAGACTAGATATAAGGAAGAAGTTCTTTACCCTGAGGGTGGTGAGGCACTGGAACTGGGTGCCCAGGGAAGCTGTGGATGCTCCATCCCTGGAAGTGTTCAAGGCCAGGTTGGATGGAGCCTTGAGCAACCTGATCCAGTATAATGTGTCCCTGCCACGGCAGGACGGTTGGAACTAGATGATCCTTGAGGTCCCTTCCAATTCAAATCATTCTATGATTCTCTCTTAACAACACATACATTTTAGCTTTACCCATATTTGGCAATAACAACTATGTTCATTAAAACTTGCTGTAAAGCTCAAGGAATTCATTTCATTATAACTAAGCCTAATTTAACAGTTTGCATCTAGCTCCATTTTTTCAACTGGAAGACTAACCACATTTTCTTCAACACCATTTTAAGTGTTCCATTTCACAACTTGTAAAAATCTTTGTTATGCTTATGCATTGAAGAGAGCAATTACAACATTATACATTTGAGGTTTTTTCATCAGCTAAATGCTTTTTGAAACTGTGATTGAAAGAGTAGTAGCTCTGTGCAAGCAGTCTCTAGGAAAGTACAAGGGCCATGTTGCAAAACTGCACTAGATGAGCGCATAAGCAGCTCCCCAAACCAACTGTTAGCTGCCTTTTCACAACTTCATTCAATTTAAACTGAAATTTGCATTTAAGACTGTGAAGACCTCACTTTAATCTATATCATCCAAGTTGGTGTCACTTGCGTATCCTAGTATCCTTCCAACCCACCTAGCATACAACTAGATTAAAACACCTACATAAAACACATAACATACGAAGTTTACATACCACAAATTTTCAGAGGTGCCTCTAGCTCCAGGAGAATTGGCTGGCTAAGAAATATTTCCCGTGATTTTATGCACAAACCCCGAACTTCTGCTTCGGTCATCTGAACAATCTTCCCAGGACGACATCCTCGTACTGAAATGAGATGTTTAACAATCGAAGATAAGTATCACACAGATACACAACAGTAAGTACCTGCAGATGATCTGTATTTGAAATCTGTATTTGACAAAAAAAGCCAGCAGCACACTCCAGTGTATCCACCAAATGTGCTGAATTATGTATTCCAACAAATTCTAAAGTTGATCTCTGATACTTTGGCAAATCGCGCTTAAATGTCTATAAGCATTTGTGTCAAATCAGGTTCTCAGAAGAGAACCATTTAAGCCTTGCTTTTGCTCACATTTGGATAAATAACAACTTCAAAGAGTGTTTAAATTAACCACCCCATTATGCTAGAGTATTCACAACAGGCAAAAAATCCCAAGAATCAAAATCCTGAAAACACTTTCGCAGTAGCACAAAATAAACTTCTTTAGGACTGTTGAGCTCAACATTGCTAGCCAAATACAAAGGAAGAAACACAGGCATGTTTACACATTTAGCAGCTGAAACTGCCATATTAGGAACATCCCACCAAAACCGATTAAAGTTTGACAAAATCTTCATTAGTATATAATAGCTCTGGAGTTACTGGAACTTTTACATCCAAACAAAGATATCCTAATTACAATGAAATTGAATTCCTAAACCAGTAAGTCAGGTACTCAGACCTATATTTACCCCTAAGTTTTCAAAAACATTCACATGTCATTGCACTCTAAACAATATCCTCTGGCAAGTTTATCTGCAGCTGCTTCTTTCCACAAATATCTATACGATTCCTCTGTCAGAGGCTTTAATGCGTCTTTAATGAGGCAGCAAAATAGAACAAATGTGTCTGCACTTTGGCTGATCCAGTTCAGTCTTGCATCTCAGCATAAACCCAACTTCAGAGTTCAAACTAATAAGCCAGAATGTATCAATGTCAACAACAGGCACATATCCTGGTCTGCCATCTGTTTTAGATGGAAGCAATGTTCAGCATTAAAACCATGGTAGCATTTACAAGAGACGGTGGTACGAAACTCTAGCACTTCAAATCTAAATGCTTCTGAACTCAAATGAAGACATTACTTTGTACTGCAACTTCAGGAAGTCTAGTAAGAGTGATCTGCAAAGAGGAGCAAAAAATAGTACTTCACATATAAAGTAAGTTTCTGGCTTGTCTGCTTCTCCTCTCCAAAACAGAAGAGTAAGCTTGCAAATTTTTTTTTTTTAAAATAAGACAACCTCCTTTTTTTTATCTTAGCTCCTAGAAAACATACTTTATGAGGAGATCAGTATCATCTACGTTGTGCAGTGGGGAAAAAAAAAAAAGATACGGGAGGCAACAGTTTGTCTAGGTCACCTAGTACTAGAGTTCACAGTGTTAAGCTCAAAAAGCTTTGCTCTGGTTATCACTACATATTTCTCCCAATATAGCTGCAGATTTGACCATTCCAACATTGCGCTATTCAATTTTTAATAAACTCAAAAAATATTTGTTAAACTGAGGTGCAGCAGCAGTCACAGGAACATTTGAAAAGGCAGAAATGAGCAACGGTTTTCTCAAGCAGGGAAGAGACATGAAACTAGACCCCGGGACAGCCAGTTCTGAGTGCCAAATTAGCAGGAGGGCTAGCGCATCTGCAATGAGGATACACTTCGCTCATTAGAATCCTTTAAGAACAAGACTGTGGCATACAGGACTTCTTTCAGTTAAACTCTGAATCAGTACCAGGTGATGTTTACCATATGGTAGGTCACATTCCTTTTGCTAAATAAGATTTCAGCTATACTTGAGAAAGAAAACAGCTTTTTAGCAATACTTTTTTTTTTTGTTATTCTTCATGCATTAAGATGTTGGCCTATATATTAAAAGAATACAAAGGCAGACATTAGACACAATCAAGGTGGCTAGAAAATTATAAATGTCTACCGACTTCCATTTAATCACATCTCAAACATCTAGTAAGTGATGCACCTATAGGTAAATCTTCAGACTCATGGGGATTATTAGCAAAAGAACCCCACAAATAAAACCCAATAAAACAAACCAACCAAACAAAACCACTCAAACCTCAGCCTTGACAGCTTTTCACAGAACCTGACTATCCGATTTGTAAGGTACTAAAATGCTCCAATAATCCCCACTTTTTCAAACACTTGTTTTCCAATAGCTTATAATGCTCCTTTTCAGAGACCAGAAAGTCATTTTGATAGACACGATAGACTGTAACTATATATAAGAAAGCTCCCACCTGAAAAAAGCAGAGTCTTAATATCACAATAGCTATCATTTTATTGAAACAATTGTTATATTTTAAACCCATGGCATACAACATCAAGGTCATATCGAAGAAGCAAGCAGCATAATTAGTTTTTTAGTCCCACTTTTCCTCTAAAAATTGCATTATTCTAACCTGTTTTGATAAGCAATGAAATTCGCCACTGTATTTAACTATTTCCATGTTTTGCAACATCAGAATTAAGTCATTTAATGTAGATTAAACCCAAGAAGTGACACAACTACACACATTTTACACTGACTCGAGTGTCAGAACTTGAATCCAGGAAAATGCGCCATACACAACATTAACGTTACTGTAAGCAGCATCAAACCAAGCAAGAGTCCAAAACTGAGATAGCAGTTTAATGAGGGCACTCATTATACTTAAAATAACTTTGATCCAATTAATATTTCTTAGAACATAGCCTTTAGTTCCCTTCGAAACTCATATAGAGGTTTAAGCTTTGAACAATTGCTTTATAGGATTGAGGCTTTAAGTACTGCTGGATTTTTTTTTCTCTAGAAGATGAAGTGAACATGCAACTCCTGATGTCAAAACTAACTGCTATACTCAGGGCATGCAGTGTTCTTTAAACAGTACAGCCTTAAACATTGCAAGTGCTCAACAAACAAACAGGGCAGCAACTTATTACCTTGCTTCAGACTCTCTGGGTAAGAGAAGTTTGTACAACTATGACAAGTATGTCACTCAGAAGAGGACACGGCACACACCTAATGATTGCAGTTACTTCCAGCCCTTGGGAAAGGTAAAAATCTGGGCCACCGCATTCTTACAAAGGCACCTTCCACCCTCCATGTGAGCAGTCGGTAGCTCTACATTGCAAATATGTAAGCTCTGCTATATCTGGGGTGTCATGAGGAATAATCACCAATAAAATAGTTAAAAGTTTTCTCCCACAAGCCCCTGACCATCAATAAGAGTGCTACCTATCGAAAAATGAGAAGCTACTGTGACCCTGGAAGCCTCAGCACTTGATTGGATTCACAAAAGCTCTGAAATGTTCACCAAGTAGTCATCCAGAACATTTGTGCCACAGCTGTGGTATCAGTACACAAGCAAGACTAAGCCCATCTTTCACAAGCTTACACTACAACTAGAATTTGTTCAAGTTTTTCTTGATACAGCTGAGCACTGCACGGATTGTAAACAAGAGCAACTCTCACCACATTCAGTTTTTCAAAGGCCAAATCCCCAAGAATAGATTTAAGAGGAGGTTACAAGAATGAGATCAAGAGTTTAAGTAATGTTTTTCACTCATTTACAAATTACTATAGCTAACCATTCTTAAAACATACAAGTCATAGCTGCATGTATTGTAAAATCTGTAACTCACAAAAAGCCTTTAACAGCATTGGGAAAACTGTACTTTTTAATGGTTGTCATTTACCCAGAGCAGTAACGGCATCTTAATATTAGACATAAATTAATTCTCTGTAATCTAAGATGCAGATGGCGTAAACAAGCTTTGATTTACATAAAAGTCTTTGGTGGGGACAATTCC